ACACATTACTAATTTGCACATTTTATGAATGCGACTTCTTTGCATAAGCATGGTTTATTTATTATTAATATCGAAAAAAACATTTTCAACATTAATATTTATAAAACTATTGCGCATTGGTCCGTTACTGGTACCTTGTGTTAGGGAATGAAGTGTACTGTAAAACATACTAAAAATTTTGCAAAATTCAAGCGGTCAAGGTTTTGTCCTTTTGTGAGATATAAACAGATATTTAAGACTTTATGAATAAACTATGACATTTGGGAAACCGCTGACTTCTGTGTAGATTTCAGTGAAGTTGTTGCAACGGAAGTAAAGATATCGCAGTCTGACAAGATCAGCGAAAGTGCCATTGTCCACCGTGTGGATGCCATTGTCCGACAGCCTGATGTCTTCCAGATTGGAGAGCCCGGCAAAAGTGCCGACTACAATGTGAGACAGTTTGTTTCCGCTCAGGTCCAGTTCTTCCAGTTGAGATAGGTCCCTGAACGTATCCGGCTCGAGAGCGCTGATCTCGTTCTGCTGAAGATAGAGTCTCTTCAGACCGACCAAGTCGCGGAGGAGCGACCTGGAGACGCTTGTTATCCAATTATCACTTAAGTAAAGATCATTCAGCTCGTTCAATCCTCGAAAGGCACCGCTCGGCAAGTCCTCTAACCGATTGTCGTCCAAGTAGAGGTAATGCAGTCCGGTTAACCCGGCGAAGGAATCCGGCGCGACGCGGAAGATTTTATTCTGTTTGAAGTTAAGCTCCAGCAGTCCGGGATTAAGATTCGAGAAGGATTCCGCCTCGATCGCTTCGATTTTGTTGCGTTGCAGGTCGAGATATTTCAAGCTTGACAGCCCGGCGAACGAGTCCTTCGGTATCGAATTGATCCTGTTGGAATTCAAACTCAGCCGCGTCAGGTGTCTCAAATCCGCGAACAAGTATCCCGATAACGGTACCACGTTGCCGTCCAAGGAGAGACTCTCCAAGTTGGGCAAACCGCGGAAGGATTCCCTCTTCAGCACGGATATCCGGTTAAAACTTAGATCCAAGTATAACACCGTCACGTTCTTGAAGGCGTTCTCTCGAATCTCCGAAAGGCCCAGGCCCCAGTCGATTACCAATCGGTTCACGACCCTGAAAACCGCCAACGATAGATGTCTATCATTTTATTCTTATATATCCGTATTAATGCATACGGTAAAATTATTACCATAAATAACGATATATACTATATCGATCGTGTATATACGATTGATTCAGACGGGCAATAATTGTACATATAAAAAACGATTCATAACTATAAAATTTGTATAATTATTTCCTTATTCGGATTTAAAACGATAGAAACCGATTCGATTCGATTAATGTTTGATCTGTCTTCTAAATATGCAACGATAGAACCAATAAAATATACGATTAAAAACGATACAGATATAGCCGTTTTTTATCGTTTTATATCGGAAATGGTTACCAGGGGAAACGGCTTTGCGTAACTTCGATGAGGACCCCCCTGTAGTGGCAAACTTTGTAAACATTGTCATCCTGGCAGGTCGGCTTCTTCACCTCCGACGAGGCCCTTGCCGAGAGAAACAGGATAACGATTTGCGGAAAGAGCAGAAGAAACCGCGACATGGCGAGAGAGTTCGAATCAGTCGACGCGCCTAACCGAGTGACACGGACGCAACTGCAATTACGGATTTTGTATCTCGTGGAGAGTTAGCGATTAGATAGTGCAGCGTGACTTTTGGCATTGATTATCGTCACTTGCTGAGAAACTAGCGCGACTGCATTCTCGGAAGCGGAGTCGATTACGAAATGTCAAAGTTGAAAATATAACTGTGTAGTTTTAATTCACGACGACATTAACGACAATAACAATACGAAGATCAACTGGGTGCCCGAACGCCATATCGCTACGGACGAATCTATTATTCGTTACATATTATCATGGTCATGGTTGATTTAATTGAGTTCAAATCATATTATAACATCGAATATAATAACGCATGAAGTTGAGATTAAAAAATGTATTTATTTATTTCTTATGTCGGGCAGCATTCAACGCTTAGAAGAAGATAACCAATCCTTGACCTCTTCAATTTTTATGTTACAGTATACATCCCATTCACTAATATAAGATACAGTAATCCTGTCCAATGCGCAATAGTTTATAAAATATTAATGTTTAAAATTTTTCCTGTCCGTAATTGTTTACATACACAGCAACAAAAATACATTCCATGACAATTAATCTTTAGTCACTTTGTGCACTATTAAATATAATTACAATCTGTACATGTTTTTGAAGAATATCTATTATAGAAACATTTAAGACACATTACGAATTTGCACATTTTATGAATGCGACTTCTTTGAATAAGCATGATTTATTTATTATTAATATAAAAAAAAAACATTTTCCACATTAATATTTAAATAAACTATTGCGCATTGGACCGTTGCTGTATCTTATATATTAGTGAATGGAGTGTACTGTAACGTACTAAAAATTTAGCAAAATTCAAGAAGTCAAAGTTTTGTCCCTTTGAGAGGTATAAACAGATCTTTAAGACCTTATTAAAAAACTGTGACATATGGGAGGCCGCTGACTTCTTTGCGGATTTCAGTAAAGTTGCCACCGAAGTTGCCACCGAAGTAGAGATTTTGCAGTTTGACGAGATCAGCGAAAGTGCCATTGTCCACCGTGTGGATGCCATTATCGAACAGCTTAATATCTTTCAGATTGGAGAGCCCGGCAAAAGTGCCGACTACAATGTGAGACAGTTTGTTTCCGCTCAGGTCCAGTTCTTCCAGTTGAGACAGCTCCCGGAAAGTTCCCGGCTCGAGAGCGCTGATCTCGCTCTGCTGAAGATAGAGTCTCCCCAGATTGAAGAGCCCGGCAAAAGTGCCGGCTACAATGTGAGACAGTTTGTTTTCGCTCAGGTCCAGTTGTTCCAGCTGAGATAGATCCCTGAACGTATCCGGCTCGAGAGCGCTGATCTCGTTCTGCTGAAGATAGAGTTGCTTCAGACCGATCAAGTCGCAAAGGAGCGACCTGGAGACGCTTGTTATCCAATTATCACTTAAGTAAAGATCCTCCAGCTTGTTCAATCCTCGAAAGGCACCGCTCGGTAATCCCTCTAGCCGATTTTTGCCCAAGTCGAGGCTATTCATTTCGGTTAACCTGGCGAAGGAATCCGGCGCGACGCGAGAGATTTTATTTCTGTTCAGCTTAAGGAACAACAGTCCGGGATTAAGACTCGAGAAGGATTCCGCCTCGATCGCTTCGATATCGTTGCCACCTAAGTCGAGATATGTCAAGTTTGACAGCCCGGCGAACGAGTCGTTCGGTATCGAATTGATCTCGTTGGACCCCAACGACAGCGACCGCAGGTGTCTCAAATCCGCGAACAAATACCCCGATAACGGTACCACATTGCCGTTCAAGGAGAGGCTCTCCAAGTTGGGCAGACCGCGGAAGGATTCCCTATTCAGCACGGATATCCGGTTGCTACTCAGATTCAAGACTGTCGCCGACACGTTCTTGAAGGCATTCTCTCGAATCGCCCAGAGGTTCAGGTGATTGAGGTTCGCGTCTTGGTCTTCGATTTGCGTCACTTCGACGAGGACCCCCTTGTAGTGGGAAATGCTGTAACCAAGACGTTGTAACGTTGTAACGTTGCCGTTGTTCTGGCAAGTCGGCTTTTTCACCTCCGACGAGGCCCTCGCCGAGAGGAACAGGATAACGACTTGCGAAAAGAGCAGAAGAAACCACGACATGGCGAGAAAGTTCGAATCAGTCGACGCGCCTAACCGAGTGACACGGACGCAACTGCAATTACGAGTTTTGTATCTCGTGGAGAGTTAGCGATTAGATAGCGCAGCGTGACTTTTGACATTGATTATCGTCACTTGCTGAGAAACTAGCGCGACTGCATTCTCGGAAGCGGAATTGATTACGAAATGTCAAAATTGAAGATACAGGAGTAGTGTAGTTTTAATTTACGACGATATAACAACACAATATAACGACACGAAGATCAACTGGCTGCCCGAACGCCACATCGCTACGGACGAATCGATTATTCGTTACGTTATCACGGTTGATTTAATTGAGTTTAAATTATATTATAACATGGAACATAATAACGCATAAAGTTGTGATTAAAAAATTTATTTATTTATTTCTTATGTCGGGAAGCATTCAATGCTTAAAAAAAGATAACCATTGCAACCCTTGACCTCTTCAATTTTTATGTTACAGTACATCCCGTTCACTCCTGTCCAATGCGCAATAGTTTATAAAATATTAATGTTTAAAATTTTTCCTGTCCGTAATTGTTTACATACACAGCAACAAAAATACATTCCATGACAATTAATCTTTGGTCACTTTGTGCACTATCGATTATAATCACAATCTGTACATGTTTTTGAAGAATATCTATCATAGAAACAATTAAGACACATTATACTAATTTGCACATTTAATGAATGCGACTTCTTTGCACAAGCATGGTTTATTTATTATTAATATCGAAAAAAACATTTTCAACATTAGTATTTAATAAACTATTGTGCATTGGACCGTTGCTGTACCTTGTATTAGTGAATGAAGTGTACTGTAACGTACTAAAAATTTAGCAAAATTCAAGAAGTCAAAGTTTTGTCCCTTTGTGAGGTATAAACAGATCTTTAAGACTTTTTATTAATAAACTGTGACATATGGGAGCCCGCTGACTTCTTTGTCGATTTCAGTGAAGTTGTTGCCACCGAAGAACAGATATCGCAGTTTGACAAGACCAGTGAAAGTGCCATTATCCACTGTCTGGATCTTATTGTCGGACAGATAGATGGATTCCAGATTGGAGAGTCCGGCAAAAGTGCCGAATGCAATGTGAGACAGTTTGTTGCCGCTCAGGTGCAGTTGTGTCAGCTGAGACAGATCCCCGAAAGTTCCCGGCTCGAGAGCGCTGATCTCGTTCTGCTGAAGATAGAGTCTCTTCAGACCGACCAAGTCGCGGAGGAGCGACCTGGAGACGCTTGTTATCCGATTGTCATTTAAGTAAAGTTCCTCCAGCTTGTTCAATCCTCGAAAGGCACCGCTCGGCAAGTCCTCTAGCCGATTGTCGTTCAAGCAGAGGCAATTCAGTTCAGTTAACCCGGCAAAGAATTCCGCCTCGATCGCTTCGATATCGTTGTGATCCAGTTTGAGAATTCTCAAGTTTGACAGCCCGGCGAACGAGTCCTTCGGTATCGAATTGATCTTGTTGGATTCCAACGACAGCAACCACAGGTGTCTCAAATCCGCGAACATGTACCCCGATAACGGTACCACATTGCCGTTCAATGAGAGGTACTTCAAGTTGGGCAAACCGCGGAACTCATTTTCGATTTCGGTGAAGTTGTTGCCATCAAAGTAGAGACCTCGCAGTTTGACGAGATCAGCGAAAGTGCCATTGTCGACCGTGTGGATGCCATTGTCGGACAGCGTGATGTCTACCAGATTGGAGAGCCCGGCAAAAGTGCCGACTACAATGTGAGACAGTTTGTTTCCGCTCAGGTCCAGTTGTTCCAGTTGAGATAGGTCCCTGAACGTATCCGGCTCGAGAGCGCTGATCTCGTTCTGCTGAAGATAGAGTTGCTTCAGACCGACCAAGTCGCGAAGGAACGACCTGGAGACGCTTGTTATCCAATTGTTTCTTAAGTAAAGATACTCCAGCTTGTTCAATCCTCGAAAGGCACCGCTCGGCAAGTCCTCTAGCCGATTGTAGCTCAAGTCGAGGCTATTCAATTCGGTTAACCCGGCGAAGGAATCCGGCGCGACGCGAGAGATTTTATTCCTGTCGAGCCAAAGGTACAGCAGTCCGGGATTAAGACTCGAGAAGGATTCCACCTCGATCGCTTCGATATCGTTGCCACCCAGGGAGAGACTTGTCAAGCTTGACAGCCCGGCGAACGAGTCCTTCGGTATTGAATTGATCTCGTTGGATTCCAACGACAGCAACCGCAGGCGTCTTAAATCTGCGAACAAATACCCCGATAACGGTACCACATTGCCGCCCAAGGAGAGGCTCTCCAAGTTGGGCAAACCGCGGAAAGATTCCCTCTTCAGCACGGATATCCGGTTGCTACTCAGAACCAAGTATGTCGCCGACACGTTCTTGAAAGCATTCTCTTGAATCGCCAAGAGACCCAGGTTCATGAGGTTCAGGTGGTCCTTGAAACGACTTAGCGGCGTCACTTCGATGAGTACCCCCTTGTAGTGGCAAACATTGTAACCGAAACGTTGTAACGTTGTAACGTTGCAGTTGTCCTGGCAGGTCGGCTCCTTCACCTCCGACGAGGCCCGCGCCGAGAGAAACAGGATAACGACTTGCGAAAAGAGCGGAAGAAACCGCGACATGGCGAGAGAGTTCGAATCAGTCGACGCGAGTGATACGGACACAACTGCAATGTCTGCAATTACGGGTTTTACATCTCGTGGAGAGTTAGCGATTACATAGTGCAGCGTGACTTTTGGCA